GCTGCCCAATCATTATCTATCTACACCCTTTTCCATACTCTGACTCATGGTCCCACTGCAATTCTTACAGACATGTGTACTACCTTGCTGCTGTGTTTACACTGTCTGCCTCAGGAAATTTTCCGTGTCCACTCTCTGACTGACAAAGCTGAAAACAAAGTCAAACTAACATTTTAGAAGGGATTATGACAATGAATATACCCTCTGACCCTCTGGTCCTTTGGTTCCTTGGTGATAGTAATGGCTGTCTTTAGGTGTGACTCTACAAATCCCACTCTCTGGACAAGAGCGATTGGGTGTGACGAGAAGGATCATTTTCAGCTGCATTTGAAAGGCTGGGACTGCTGGTCTCTCCATCATGTCATCCAGTGCCTCTTTTGGGATCTGAACCATTAAACAATACTAATCAACCTGCTGACACGTAAAGCCTTCACAATAACTTCGTCAGCCCAAATAAGAAACGTTTCCTTACAACAGAAAGAGGAGAAGGACACAGGACTCCACCCATCTTTGCTCCAGGTCTCCTCCGAAGTGTCCAGGTCCAGCGTGATCTGGTCTTTACCAGGCATCAACTTTACCATTGGGACTACTGGACCTTCTTCAGCCCTTCGCTCCTTATACAGCTGCTTCACCTTCTGCAGAGGGGTGAAAATTCTCAGCAGGATGAATATCAATCATTACTAGACTTTTACCTCTATGAGCAGCTCTTTCTTCAGAGTGACTGTTATATGGGCCTCGTGTATATTGAGCTGCTTTGGCACGTAGTAAGTGAAAATGGCATATTTTAGTGGCTTCTTTCCAAACACTGTGAACCAAGTGAAGTGGTTAACATCGATGGAAGCCTCTCCAGACTCAGAGAAGGATCCTCCTGGTAGACGCTCAAAGATGTAGGGTGGCGTGTCTTTGGCAGTGTAGAAGGACAGTGCTGCTTCTTCATCATCATCATCCACACAGGCACAGTGCTGGAGGGTGATAGTGACTTTTTTGTCCAATTTATCCACGGGAGGATAGAGGGAGAGAGAGTAGACTCCACTGACAAGGACACCCTCATCTGGAAACTGATAATCTCCCTTGAGACTGGCCTGGATGTACATCGTCGCTGGACCACTGCTACTGATGGCACCAGCTGGAACGTCGACTTTGAACCCATGTCCCTTCCAGTCATAGGTTAGTGGCTTTTCTGGATGAACTTCTATCTTGGCGTGTGCAAATGCTATGGAAAATCCAAAACACAGGTGCAATTCTCAAAGTTATACAGCAGGTAAGATTAAGATTAAGATGGTGACATAAAAAATCAATGGGAGTATTAAAAAGCACTTTATCAGGGGTAAGTTACCTGCCCACATGCATAGACATTGCAATGAATGCATGTGTTTCTAGTGCGCCGAAAGTTTACACTTAAGGGCTGGGCCACTGCGATGATTTTTCCAACACACTACATTACAGCATGGTGACAGCACCATAGAAAGGTGGCACAATTTGTACTACTGAGGTAGGCTCGCTTTGCTGTCCTATGATAGGTTCCATCACTGTTTAATGCTTTTTATCCCGTTTTCTGCATACAAAAGGATTAAGGAGGTCCACAGCCATACAATGCTGATTTGGGGATGGGGTTGTCACCAACTTGTTGTCAAACACAAAAATTTTACATACCTTCTCTGCTGAGTGAGAGCAAATGAAGAGTGTCTTCAACCCGGATGTGGAATCTACGTCTTGTGGCTTCAGTTTCATTTCCCTGTTGGGTGTTTGGTTGTTGCTTCTGCTGTATTCCCTGCTCTTCATCGTCATAAATCCCTGCAATAACATTAACAATGGCGTAATACCAAATCCACCTTTCACCAAATTCACCTTTCATCTCACGTCCAACTGCTTCCAGTGCTGGCTCTGCCATGAGAGCTGTCAATAGTGTGTGAAATACATTAGGATCGGCAGAAATGCGTCGCTCCAGTGCCATTAAAATGACTTGAAGTCTTTGGTTGGCTGTTTCTGTTGTCTGTGTGGCCCTTTCACGCTCATCGGGAGTAAGCAGCATGTTGCTGTAGAGCACTGCCACAAGACTGTCAGGGTCCACACTGTCTTTGAAAAGTTTGTAGCTCTTCCTGAGAGCTCTTGATGCGACAGACGTGGAGATGTGGACGACAGGAGCTGGAGTAGGTATCACTGGCAAATGACTGGGTGCCTCTATGGTAAAGAGGACGATTATGAGTCATTCAGGCAGTACATACAACATGAAACCAATCACTATACAGGACAACCATGTGCTTGACAAAATGCTTTCCTATATTATACCAACTCATTTTTGGATCTACCAATACAGCAGTATACT